CGAAGTCCACCAGCGACAAGAACGTTCAGGAGATCTACAAGATAGGGTCTCATCTCCTGAAGTGAAAGTGTCGTTGGTTTGAGAGCTTGGAGTCATACCTTGTCGCCTGTATGTCAGTGAGGCATCAGCATGGACAACATGTTCAGTCTGTTCAGCACAGCTTGGCACCGGATACAATACCAATGTATCTTTTTTATAGTTTTTCAGTTTTTTGTGAGTTCAATTTGGCACAAACAAACATATCAACCAATCAACACACCTTTTGTTGACAATCTTGAGGGTAGTAACCTGGCGAATTGGTGTAATGCGTGCTGCACAGATGTAATGCAAGTGAATTGTTCACTCATAGCTCATAGATCAAAGCTTTGCACTAGACACACGGATGTCTTGTATTGAATTTGTTCTTTAGTTGCCAAACATCAAAGACACTTCAAAACTGTTGAACTAGTGTTGGTCACTTGGCGAATTGTGTGAAGTGCACCGCGCAAATACAATGCACACGCATTGTTGCATAGACCAAAGAGAAGGAACAAAAAAATGACAACAGAGTATTTGGGCTCTGATTGGATTAGAAGAGCTTGGAGATGATTGTCATTTCATGATTTCACAACCTTTTTTTTGAGAATCTTCCTTTTGTGCTGGCCAGGTGTTGCAGGTGCAATGACGCACAGTTGCCAAAAACTGGCAAACCGGAGCTCAACTGAGCTGGAAAATGAATTTGGGCCCGGGCTGTGAGACTGCTGATACATTGTTGTTGGTGAAGTTTGGCTAGACATATCAAAAACTAGAACAAACGAATAAGTTGAATTACTCAAAACAACAAGAACCGTTTTATGTTTTACACCATGTTCAGGTACAACTACTCATTCTCTCACACTGTGCTGTTCCAGCATGCATGGTTTGTTTGATGACAATGTCAAGTTCATACATTGTACATTTACCCTGGAACATGTTTAAAATCATCACAAATGAGATTTTGAAATATCGGCACCTCATACCATCAACATTACATTTACATATGCACAACAATGTAACAATGCAAAAGGTGATATTGGCACCTATTGAATACTTCAAAGACAGCTTATCGTGACGGCGATGTTGAGCAATAGGAAATGAAAACAAGGCCTTCAAAATCAAATCACTCTGATTCCTAACGAAAAGCTATGTTTTTCTGGCATCAACTTTTCCTTAGACTTGAAAGTCTGAATCCCATCTCCCCAGGGCCGAACCGTTGAGGTGAACTCGCTGGAGTGTCTCGGTGAGGCAGACCTGCCATGGTGTCAAAGGCGCGGCTCCGCTGCGCAACCTGTTAGATTGGAGAGGATGCGAGAGAAAAGGGTGGAAAAGGGTGGACCAGAAGTACGCCTGACATCCCCTTGGTCAGAGGTGATGTTGTTTGGTATCAAGTGAAAGAAACCAAAGTTATGTAGGTCATTGTAGGGTTGAGCTCTTGGGACACTCCCATTGAGCTCGCACGTCCGCTGAAGGATTGACTTCACGGTGAACAAACTCTCAGTGGTGCCGCCTTTGGCGGCCCTGGGGCGTTTGAGATTCGCGTGCTTCGCGTCCAACGAGATCACCTCCCTGGAGGTGGAACGACGTCGTGTTTCGTCGTGGGGGGGCGTGAAGAACCGGTTCTAGAAGGACCCGACGTGTTGGAACCGTCGTCGGAGAGAAGGAAAGGCACGTTTCGTAGAGAAGGCTGTTTGATCGTCTGTGAACTACAAATTGTGGACTCGGCAGGTGATGCAAGACTTTGGCTGAACGAAGGGCCGAAATGGCAACGCCACACAGTTCCTTTCACAGCAACCCTGGTGAATCGGGGCATTCTTTGGTTTTTCCAAAGCATCGGCTGAACCAGGCTGAACCGAAGTCGAAGTCGAAGCGATTGAACCAGGGCTGAACCAGGGCTGACGGGTGGTTTGGTTTGAGCGGTTGGAGCGGCGGGTCTGGACCGATGCGGAGGGCTTCGGAGATCATCCCATCTTGGAGGAGTTGCAGCTCCAGGAGACCGGGAAGACTGCCGAGACTGGGATGTTGAATGGACCGATATACCAGATATTCTTATTGACAGTGGTGTTGGGAGAATGTGACCGCGAAGTGTTGTTTTGGAGTGGTGAGAAGGGGCCGGGGAGTTCTGTTAGTTCTAGGTTTGAGATGCAAATTTGTGTTCGCATCAGCTGCAAGAGCTCCAGACCGAGGCTCATCTTCTGGGAGGACGACTGATACAGAGTCCACACAAACTGACTGCCTTCTGCACAATACTCGTCTTCCGACACTGAACTAGGACAGCCCGTGCCAGTTCTATGCTGCAGAAAATCGTAGTACTTTTTCAACAGACACTTATGATCACTATACATAGGAGAAGAACCCCGCTCGATGTATTTCTTTGTCTCCCAACCAGCCCCAGGATCTGACTTGTAGAAAGAACAACGTTTCATTAGCAGTCGCCTCTTGATTGTCCAGGAGAACCAGCTTACCTCTCTCAAGGGTTTGGGCTGCCTTAAGAGAAGAGACCTCAGATTGGAGTAGTCTTCCAGTGTTTGAATCCAGCTTTGCAGTGTAGCTCGTAACTACCGTTGCTAGATGGACATGTTTCTTTTCAGTCATCCACGTTTTCATGCGTATCGGCGTATGGCTGAGGCCTGCGCTCTCTGATTGTCTCGACCAACCAGCTAACATCGCTGGAAGGCTTAGATGCATGGCCCCCAGACGTGTGCAGAAGGTGATTCAACATCCATTTTTGGGCAGTAGTGACATTCATAGTGGAGATTCAGATTGCGTACTGGACATTACTCAACGACTCAACGATATTTTGGGTTGTGTCTATGGGGTTGAGTTCTTGAGGGTTCCAAAGGTGATACTAGCAGCCACACCACTCGCACTCCTTTACAGTACTTTCTCAGGGTGGACAAGGTAGACTACCGGGCAACGTTTGAGCACGTTCTTTGTTGCATCCTGTTACCCTGTTCCAGTGCTTTGCACATCCTGACTTTGCGGGCCACCCTGTTCTCATTGACCCAGCCTTCCTTTTGCTGGAATTGAGGCTCCCGTGCTGAAGAAGCTGGATGTGAGTCGTACCCTTAATGATCGCGTCCCCCTGGCCCGGTGCGAGGGTCATCTCGTGTGATTGGGTCGCCTAACTACTGGAAACAAATCCATGTTTGCCTTGCCTTTATGTTTAAAAAAGTGGACTTGACCAAGCAGCGGTAGAATAGACTCTCTCTTGTTGCCGACTACTTTAGTAGTGGCAACGGGCAGTGGCAACTGGCATCTCTGTGGGTGCATGTCACTCCAAAACAAGAAGGAGGCGTATGTCGGTATGCGCACTTGGTTTAGGGCCCTTTATTCGATGTGGGGTCAAACTCAAAACACCCCCACACCTGGGAAGACTCAAAACACCCCCACACCTGGGAAGAGACTATTATTATTGGAACCCGCTGTTCATTTATTTTAGCACATCCCTACTGTCTCGTGTCTTTTTGTATTGAATCAGGCAAAAATCAGCTCGCCGTCTTGGAGCATTTGGACAAAGCTCCGGTGTGTGAGGAGAAATTGGACCGTAAACCTGTTACAACAGCAGCTGGATTGACTTTGTGGGATCTTTGGACTATTTACTATTAGTGGAGTCCGTAAACCGTTTCGATTTAAGATTGAATGGTTTCTGCTCTATGAACTATGCAGCTTGCTGCTGAATGAGATCTGCTAGTGTCAGCTAGAGTTGCCAAGTCCTTCCCACATGAGCACTCCAACCTCGGGAACAGCAAACAGAATGGGTTTGGTCATTTTTGGTTCATTTGGCATTTCCCATCACATAGTTCATGGCATGCCACCCATTTGAGCAGTCTATGGACCTGCATAGCCCTACGTTAGCGGAATAGATCCTGCACCCCTTCGAAGCATGATTCACTCTTGCATGATCAAGGCAGAGGACGCTATATACTGTGTGTATATATATATATGTAGATGGTTTTTCGCACCAATGTTAAAGAGGGAGAGTGAGCATACACGATATGAACACCCCGGAAGATGTAGGATTTTTCTGAGAGCTGTGGTGACTGGGCCAGGCTGGTGGTAGGTCTGAGATTGGATTTGCTGCTCAGGGGCCACCTGGGTGGAACCCTCCTGAGGGTGGCTGTTCTGGTCTTTCCATAGAGGTGAACAGAGTACAAGGGTCTTGCTTGAGGCAGGCATGATCTACCAGACAAAGTCGAAAGAGAACAACGGTGAGTAAAACTGCAGTCCATTTCAGGGGTGTTGCCGGTAGTTTAAGGTAGCTGACCCCCACAAATATAACATAAAGAGCATATATAGATATATAACAACCTTGTACCTTGCAGTTCCTTTGCAAGGTTTAATAGCCAAACCAAACGTATTCTTTTTGCACAACAGCGAGTGGCTCAAGTGAGCGAGCTTGTCACGGTGCCTCGAGGAGTTGGATGTCTCTGAGAACCAACTCAGCGCTGAGGATCCGTGTGGGGACCTGGAAGGAGCTGGTTAAGACAGCTGTCTTAACCAGTCGGCAGTCGGTGATCTGATGCGTATGGCGTCCATCGATCTTTCATGATCTTTCCTGGGTTTCAACTGTCATTTGTTGTTGTGTGGAGCAGCAAGCGGCCTTCAGGACATTGTTGTTCACCTACTCAGCACAATAGATCCTCGTTCTTTCTTTGCCAAGCCGCTGTCACAAGCTTCAGCTGGACTCCCCGAGGAATCTTCCGGAGCTGAAGCGCCTTGGGGCTGAAAAGACATTGCCGGGAAGCCTAGGCAGTGGCCATGGGGATCATGAATATGTATGAACTGAATGAAGACTTAAACCCACAGTCACAGGGGTGAAATCAGTGAACTAGTTCTTACAGACAATGACCTAGTGCAGATTGTGGTGTCCCAGCTGGAAGTTCTTCTTTTTTTGCTGTATCGACTCAGCTGGAAGGGTCTCTGTCGTTGCAGCCAACAGCCAACCGAGTCTTTGCAGAAAACCTTTGTTTCACCACTTTCAGGCACTCTTTGAACATTGCCGGCAACACGGGCGACCTTCGGATCGAGGCATCGGACATTTGGGACACCAAGGTGGTCAGTGGTCAGAAGGACCGACGGAGGGAGAATCTGAAGCCACCAACTGCGTGTGCTGCCTTGTCACAGTCGGATCTCTTAACAGTCCCGTGCTGCCGACTGATCGGCTCAAGACTGATGGGTATCGATGCAGAGGGTTTGATCCTGGAGGCCACTGGCAGCGCCACTGGCAGCGGCTGGAAGGTTCGAAGTTGGACGGTGGATTTGCCACGATGCAGATGTTTCGGGGGCAAGTACTCCCTGCTCTTTGAGTTGATTGAGCTTCTGGGATCGAACGCCTGATGTTGGTCATTGCTTGTGGATGCGTTTTTGGTAGACCAATTGAATAATTGGGTGGATCAGAGAAAGCAAGCACCTTTTTTCAGCATTCTTCGTCTTCTTTGCGTGGCTTTCGGGCTTTTCGCTTTCTCTTTCGGCCATGTTTGGCCCAGATGTGCTTGGTGTGTCAGTGGTTGCTCCTCGGCTGAGGTGCCAGAGTCAAGAAGGCCGAAGCTTGCCGGTCCTCACAGCAGACTTCTCCCGGGAGCTGTGCGATGAGTTCAGCCCACAGTATCAGTTCCTGGCGGTGGTGCCGGGACAGGCTGTGGGATTTGGGTGCAGTGTGTGATGAAACACAATTCAGTGTGAGACTAGGTTAAGTAGTTTAGTAGAAGCAACGGAGATTAACAAGAAACACACAGGGAGGGGTCTCAGAACCAGTGCTCAATTCTGGGCTCAGATTTGAGAAAGTGTCTCCTCCCCAGGTTGCTACATTGGTGGAAGCTGAATCGGATGATATCAGTCTTGGTCACTTCTTTGCGCATGGAGTGGAGAGCTACGCTCGATGTCTATTGAATTTGTTGAGAGATGTGAGATCAGAGGAAGAAGATGTGGAATGCCTTTGGGATCCTGGCCACTATGGAGATTTGTTGGTGAGAGCTTTGACGTTGGGGTGTGCAGAAGCCGGCTTTGAAGCAGACCTCAGCTCCAACTTTTTTCGCGGGGGAGAGGGCAAGAGGATCAGCTTTGAAGCTACAAAACCACATTTGGTCGGCAAAATAGAGATTGAGTTCGAGAATGACCTGGAAGAAGGCCTTCTTTGCTTTGAAGATGCTGATCAGCCAGATGTAACGATCACTGGTCACAAGGCTTGGTTTCCATAGTTTCCTTTGATCTGGTGATCTGGCATTTGCCAAGTAGGCAATGGCCATGAGGCATGCTGTTTATGGACCAATTTATGGAGAACATGCTGCACCTGCGGGATACAACCGTTGAGATAAATTGCACCTGTTTTTACAGCGGTTTGACATCGACCACGAAAAGAAGGTGCTTAATATGAGCTATCATATGAGCTATCATGTGCCTTTTGTTTTGTGATCAACTGGCAGAGTGTTTCTTTCGGGTTCACACGATGAGAGCCTTTGCCCAGGTGACCGTGGACTTGGGGTGCAAGAAGCTCCGCAAGTTCGCACTCGAGGCTGATGCCATCCAAAGACTCCGATCAGGCCTCAGTGGGAGGATGGAGCACGACAGTGAGGGCTGCTGATCGTTTTTTGCTAAAGACAGTATTTTCCGAACTGGAAGGCCTAAGTGGGGATGAGGTTGGAAGTTTTCAGGAAGATAAGAGACAATTATGAAACACACAGTGATGATGAACTGCCAGTGTAATGTAGGCTAAGCTAAGGTGTTTTGGCACCACCACTGCCAGCGGCTGCTGATTACAGTCTGCAGAGAAGATGGTATCTCGACTTGCTCATTTGCCTGCGAAGATATTTACCTCAGGCGACGGTTCAGAAAGCTACTACTGTAATAGCAAGGGCATCACTACTAGTAACAAGGGCATTACAGTACTACTAGTAGCTAGAAGCTACTAGTAACAAGAAGCTTCGCAAAAGTTCAATGGCAACTTGCCATGCCATACCCATAGATGATAGAGCACCCTCTGAGTTGTACTACAAACTAGAAACTTGCCACACACATTTGTGGTTGGGCATATGATTTTCTTCCAAACGCAGGGGGGATCTGCCATGGTTTGTGCATTATGTTTGGAGGGTAGCATGGGTTCCTTCTTGTCACGATCCTCTTGCCCTGTTGGCAGGGCCCAACAAGGCTGGTCGTGCAGTTTGCGCGGCGGTGCTTTCCAGGAGAGATGGTCATTGGCCTGGTGCATGATCAGGTGACGTCAAAACGATATGTGGTGATTGTTGGGATGTGAACAAATCCAGGGCAATTGACTGATGACTGATTCTCAATAGGCTATGCCCAAATCCGCTGACGCTGCGCCCAACATGTCCCTTACGGTTAGGTGGACTGGGTCACTTTGCAGTGGAGCTACAATCCCGACAACGCGATGCTGCTCTCCAGAGACTCAGTAGCATTCGGCCAAGTTCTTTTTTTTGGGACAAGCAGTCTCTAGGTCAACGAAAACAGAATCAGGTGCAAGGAATCCTTTGGCATATCGTCTTGGAGTCCCAGCCAATGATTTGGGTAAACAAGTCAACTGATCATCATCCAATTCGAACACATGAAGAAAATCAGCGAGGCACGATTTGATTGGAATGTTCGAGGTTTCTTTCCAGACCACCCGCCCCAAGGCGAGGAAGAGATGATTGGTTTGGTGGAAGAACTGCAGAAATTTGGCTGTCCTTTCCAGCTCCCATTCTGGCTGGCGCTGAGAGCTTGAACCACCGTCGTCTCAGTCTACCTCCATGTGCCCAGGTATGGCATGCCAGCACCTCCCCCGTCCACAACTGGAAATGGAGTCCGCTGTATTTCAGCCCATGTTCATCACCAGGCCACCAGGCAAAGACCAGCAAGTCTGTACAGTCATTTGAGGGACGCCCTGACTGTGGCGGTGGAGCAAGGGCAAGAAGTTCTTGATTCTTGAGGTTCTGATGCAGCAGACGATGCTGTTTATGTTGGAAGGACCAATATTGCCACTATCCTGAACAGCTGGTGATCAGTTTTGCAACTGCTTCACTGGAAGAAGCAGTTGCGGTGTTGCATGTTGCAGAGAGCCCCAAAGACACATTGACTTCCAGATGTGCAACTTCTGAAGCGAGTGTCGCTTGCTGGTGGAGGCTTCTAGAGAGTTTGCAGAGAGCTCAAAATGGTCACGCTTTTGTGGGACTTCGCCCAAAACGCTCCAGTCAACACGGCTGCGGTCTGCGACATGTTATGATTTGTATGTTGTGAGTTGTTTGCCAAACGAACGATGACCCATGTGACCATGGGATAGGTAGTTGTGGGGAAGCGAATTACAAAGTGAAAGACGCTAAGAGCTTTAGGTAGTGCATCAGCACTCTTGTATATGCCATGCAAATATGATTTGGCCATATTTTCAGTGCTTTCCCAAGCAGAGCCTTCGATATTCGGTGTCGCCCTTGCCTCTTGAAGTCTCGTACAGGTTATGGTTGTGGCGCCACAAGTACAGATCATTGATGGAGAGTTGCACGCTTAGATGAACCCACAAGCGAGTTCCAAAACAACCAGAGGAAGCTCTAAAGTGTGCAGCCATTCCTTTTCTGATATTTTCTGATATGATTTGTGTTCACTTCCTGCTTCTGCACGCAACTTGAAAGGAGTTTGGCCAGGAGTTTAGAGTAGATGCTTTAACTCAACTGTCAACTGTGCTAGTTTTCAGTCAGCGTTGACGCAGAAGAGTTCCTATATACTATACACATATGTACAGCTTTCCTGTACTTAGAAAAAGCGAGGCGCTTGGACCTTTGATACAGATTTTGGCTAGCAAAAACAGTAGTAACAAGTGCATCGCTAGTACGAACAGGTGCCTTACTAGTAGTAACAAGAAGCTACTAGGGGCTCCTGGCATCGCTACTAGGAACAAGAAGCTATTAGAGGATCTTCATGTGTGAAGGCCAGTGACGGAGGAAGATCGAGAAGCAGCAGTGGCCAAGGCTGGACTGTGTGAGTGCTTGAGAAGGTGATACAGTACCTACTAGGGATTCTCTCTCTCTCTCTCTCTTTATTATAATGCAGACACTTCCACGTTGTACTCTCATGGTAGATGAATCTCCTACCATTCTGCAGGTTCAAATCGAACCGCCTAACTCAGAACATCGATCCACTGTACAAAGACAAAGAGCACACATGGGACCCAAACTGTTGAGAGTGGCCATCTCAATTGGGATCCACGCAAATTGTGTTGTGGTTCCCACTCACGGTTCAACCGGTTTCAAATTCCCCGACCGAATCACTCTTCAGCCCACGTTCCAGCGTGTGCCATGGAAGCTGCACGATGCTTGAGACTAATTTTGCCTTTTTGTGATGCTACAGAGCTGGTGCGTGCAGAGGTAAGCTCCAAGACACAGCATCAGTGGATCGAACAGGAAGAAGTCTGGGAAGCACTTTGCAAGGCCTGCACAACTGACCCTGACGATTGGCAAACTCAACGGGGAGACAAAGTAAGTTGGCCTACCAAAGATGGCGACACAGCCAAAGATTGGTTCTTGAGACTCTATGAGCTGCACACTTTGATTACCAAGCATGATGCGATTGCGTGCGATAAGTGTGGCGAGTGGGGTGCTACTGACCTCGATAGTCTTGAATGTCAAGGATGCCAGGGGAAATGGTGTGATGACTGTGCTGAACGCGGGCCTTCCAAGAGGGAGGTGCCTTGTGAGCAATGCCCAGATTTCTCCAAAATTTGTTGCCGGGAGTGCTTCCTTGAGGAAAAGACACTTCGCTGCGAATGCTCAGATACAGACAGCTGGCACAGCTGTTGTGGCCGCCATGGCTTTAGGTGCGAGCGCTGTGACGCGCTCTTGTGCGATCGCTGCAAAAAAGCTCATCGCTCAGAGTGCCCAGAAGGGGCGGACGAGGAAGACGAGGAAGACGAGGAGTGCCCAGAAGGGGCGGACGAGGAAGACGAGGACGAGGAGGACGAGGAGGGATGATTTACCATGAGTGTGGACGGCATTTGACGCCCTTTCAGAACTTGTTCTAAAGCTGCAGCGTGCCAAACATTGCAGTTGTCTCACCCTTGCCTGATCTGACGGAGCTTCCCATGATCACGAGGTCTTTTATGTTGACCTTCTCCTCTCATGATCCCAAATGTAAATGGAAGTGGTTAGTTTTTGGATTTGCAAACTCCACAAAACAGCCGCCATGCAGAATTGACCTTTGCATGGCTGAGCGTCGGGAGCTCCAGCGGCCGTCGGTTTGTTGACTTGGCAGCCTTTGGGTGCTGTTGGGGGCCCAGCCACATCCAATGCTGTGTGTCAGGCGGAAGAGTTGGTGGAAGCTGTGAAGGCCAAGGTCAGCTGTTTGGGAAACAAGACACGGACCTACCAGACATTTGATGTGCCATGCTGTACCAGCTATTCGCTTGTGAAGATGAGTTGGGCACGTGGACAGTCAGGCAGTTGAGGGTTTATCACTTTTTAAAACATGTATGAGCTCGTTTTTCAATTAGAACAAACTCTTCTTACCTCTTCCTTCCTGCTCTTGCAAGGCTTGTTATGCATGTGCGCGTAGCCAACCAGGCCGAAGAAGATGCTCGCCTGGCAGCCGAAGCTGCAGCTGCGGCCGCAGAGGCGACGTCGCGTGGTTTGGGGGTGACGAATCGGCTGCCTCAGTGTTCAAGTCGCTGGAAGAGCTGGACCTAATAGCAATGGCCTCCAACCTAGTGGCGATGGCTAGAAACACGTCTAAAAGGATGTGTCCAGTTCATTCACATTTTCCAGATCATTTGAAAGCATGTCGAAATGAAAGGATCAAAACCAGCCAGATTGTTCGAACTGCTGGGGTTGAAATGCAGTTTTGACCCAGAGCCGTGGGTCTAGATGTGACGCATCTAGAGAGCTATAATTGTGCATGAGCCGGATTCTCTCGGACATGTTACTTAGACAAATCATTGAGCAGTGCCCAGACGCTTCCAACGGCGGCTTCAGATTCTCAGGCGGAGGCGGCTGCAGCTGGTGGTGAAGAAGAGGGTTAAAAAGACCTAGACCTAGAACTGCCAGCGTGTTTCACCGGACTCTGCAAATGGCAGAAGCCGCATGGAGATTCCGCTTGAGGAAGAATGTCTGCTGGCTGATAGCTTGACAAGGTGAAACAAGGTGACTCACATGACTCACACTGGATCCCTTCAGTTTGCATGAAAAGAAGCTTTCCCTCTCTGTTCCATCCATCAAAGGCCCCAACTATGAGGTGCGGTGTATCTAAATAGTCGGACCCCTCAATGACTACAAGGGTATTTGTTTCTTTGTTTGTTCTTGTTTTTCAAGGTTTCCCTCTCACCCAAAGGAGGCTGACGCTGTCTTGGCTGAAGAAATCTCCCGAAGGGTGGGAATTGCTGGGGCCGTGACGCACCAGGACCGAAACTGGATCGACTCTTGACTGTCGCGGTGGGAAGGATTTGTCCAGTTTCACTTGCCTTTTGGTGGTGCAAAAGGTCTTGTTTCCTGGCCATCCCCTCAGTTTTTGATCTACTTCTGGCCCTTTACCCCGGGCTATACGTGCTTCCTTCAATTCTGAGCGACACTGTGATTTTGCCTTCCTCGTTGCATCACCTCCCATCTGTAGTGGCTGGAAGCTGGTAGTGCTGCTAGTGGAAAGCCTCGCGTTGGCATCCAGGACGATCCACTGCAAGCTCGGCTCGGCCCGGCGCTTGTTGGAAGCCATTGCTAGTAGGTTTGAGGCCACCGCTCTTAGGTTGGAGGCCATCGCTACTAGAATGGAGGCCATCGCTATTAGGTTCTCTTTTGTCCACTGCCCACTGCAAGCTCGGCTTGGCCCGGCGCTTGCGTATGCTCGCGCAACCGTCTCTGGTCGGTCCCCAGCCACTGAGCGACACCAAGGTCCTTAGCGATGAGGCTCGTTAGGCGGGCCGTTCGTGTGAACACCACACCTCCAAACAGCAAGTTTTTTACTTCTTAGGGACAGGGGAACCAAATGATTAGTGCGAGCGCTTCTTCAAGGAAGCTCTCCCCGCCCTCAGGCGGGGAGCTTCCTTGAAGAAACGTGAGCTCAGTAGGTAGGAGCTAACAGCTAACTTAGCCTAGTAGCGAACTAGTCTCCCTTACTTAATTAAGTAGGGAGGGGGAGGTTGGCTATAAAACAAGCTTTCACAAAAACAGCCTAGCGGCAGGTGGTGGGACTTGGATGATGTGAATCCTATGGTGTGCAGGTTCTTGATGAAGCTGAGCAATGAAAGTGTGGTCGTTGAGCTGAAGAACAGCACGGTGGTACAGGCCAGCTGTTGGAACAGACCCTTGATAGTGGCAGTTGCACGTCCTTACCACACGACCGCATTCCGAATTCTTGGCACAGGGAACTATCACAGGTGTGGCTCTCAGCACTCCCGCTTGAGGCACTACAAAACATAGGCATTTCTAGCGTTTGGTGATGTTGATGACGTCATGGCTTTTGCCCTCACTTAGGTGTGGACATGTCAATGAACGTGCACATGAAGAACATCAAGTTCACCGTCAAGGGCAAGCCTCCTGTTTCCATGGATCACCTCACCATCCGAGGAAACAATGTGCGGTCCAAGACCCAGAGAACCAGTTCGGCCCAGCATCCCCAAGAAAAGTTTGTCAGAGCTTTCAGGCCATTGTTACTTCGAGCGCTAAGGTATGTGATCCTCCCTGATAGCATTCCGCTTGATACCTTGCTGGTGGATGATGCCAAGCGTCTGCCGAAGGTATCTGCTCGACTCGAAGGGAAGGTCAACAAAATTGTAGTGGTGTTTTGTAACCTGTTTGACAGGATCGGTTAAAGACCCATACCGTGCCAATACCGTGTACCTTGTCACCACCTTGTCACCAGATCTCTTTG